CGACAAATTCTTAGCTTGACTTCATGTGCCTCACAACCGTGGAGTTTGTTGGCGTAGCCAGCCTTTTTCAAATGATTTCAAACTGTCATATGGTTGATTCTTAGTGCATTGGCTATCTCCTGATAACTCACATGCTGGTCTTGCTTGACCAGTTGCAAAATTTCATAGATTTTTTCAGTGACTGGCCGACCAGAGCGAGGTCGATCTTTGATATCAAAATTTCCAGAACAAACCACTCCTGCGTCCTGCGTTCACTTACAGCATCCGCGCCGTAAACGCGCCTTCACAAATTTGTCTACTTTCATACCCAAACACTCTGTCATTGACGTGAACGCATTGCGTATGATTTTTTTATTAATCTGTCAAAATATTAGCACAAGAAATTGGAAAATGCTACGTTCCTTCAATTGAAAATTTAACGAATTATATATATATATATATATTGACAGAAATATTTTAGACTATTTTAAATAGAACAATCGAAAGTGTTCTGCGCATTTTCTAACATTAGAAACATTTATTGATTTTCTCCACACTATAAATTTGTTCCTTCATATTAACTTTTCTTTATAAATAGTTAAGGAATTATGAAGAAATTAAAGTAATTCAACAGTCTGGTTTCGATAATCAGAATCAAATACTAGCACTTGGTGTTTGTCTCTCTCGTCAAAAATTATTGCTGTGTCCATTTGAGACAAATGCTAAGTGTTAAGAATCATACTTACAAAGTATTATCTTGAGATCTACCCGTGAGTGACTCTCGGATGTAAAGAGAGTAAAAGTGTAAGTAAGAAAGTAACTCTGCGGTATACTTTTCAGTACAGTGTCCATTTGTATGACTCTTGAGAGTGACTCTCGACTGCAGCTCTCTCAAATAGACACACACAAGCCATTAATCTTTTTACTACAGAATTCCTGACAAACGTGGGTACGCTAAACTCTAAGTATACTCGTATCGGGGATCATTACTATACGTTTGTTAATTAAAACGTAAATTGTGCCGATGATACGTAAGTTTTGGTAACGGCTCGGTACTGCACAATTGTAGGCGAGTAAAGTTTAGAAATCGTTTTAATTAAAAAAAATATATACGCGCATGAGAAATCGGGCCGAGCGAAGAAAGAAGTGAAACACATTCTTCGTTTGTCGGCATGTTACATGAAGTCGAACAGTCTAAAAAAAATTATTCAATATATATTTTAAATCGTTAATGTAAAAAAATAATCTATTTTTCATTTCTCTAAGTAATATAAATATTTTGGTGATTTTATGTAAATATTAAATAATTTAGTTCTGTAGATAGATTCGGAATAAGTTGTTTCATTCATTAAAGTGACGTAACTTTTCGATGGAAAATCAAAATCCGACTCTACACATGTCTATTATCTTCTACTTCAAACAACTAAATTTTAGTACTTCATGGAACTTTTAACGAAAAATGTTTAAAGTTTCAGACTGAGATATTGTGAAAACGTGTAAATTACGTCGTTCCTTTCGAGCATTATTATTTCGAAAGTGCGTAATCGGTCCGATCATTCATCATCACAAACTTTCATACGTGAACTTTCATATGTAGTCTAACATATTCCGGAACAGGATTCCGCTTTCGTCGCACTATTACAAGCTCCGATTATTCATTAACGATGAGAAAAAAATTACGCGTGACTTCAATATCACTGTCAATATCAAAGATCAAGATCGAGAAATTGCCAGAAGAAAACGGCAATCTCGGATTCCTATCAAATTCACAAAAAAGGGATCTGACGTTTTTTTCCAGAAGAGAAAAGATTCCATTTCATGTAACTGTACATCGTGATGACGTAATCGATTAAAAAGCTAACATAATATAAATGAAAATTTTATGAGAAGAAAAAACGTTTTTAATTAAACACTATTAATTATCATTTAAAAATGGTAAAGCCATGGTTTTCTTCCTATTATAAAAAAAATAATCTCTTTTTGTTTCGAACACTCACTGGACAAAAAAAAAAACGGTTTTTCCAACGTATCCAAAAATTTAACTAGCTACAAATTTAAAAATAATTTTGTCTATGTAATAATTACATAGGATGTTCAAGCTGACTAGAATACAAATTTTTTTTGCAGCATTGTTCGTTATGCTTGAATTTCCTACATAATTATTCTAACGATCCAACAAAATTATTTTTAAATCTGTAAATCTGAAAGAAATATTTCATATGAATAATCATAATTTGATTGATATGAAAGTCACAAAAACTATATTTTTCAATTGAAAAATGAAAAAGTTTTTGAAATTCACATATCATAGCTAAACGTTTAATGTTTCAGCAAAATTATTCTTTCCGTGTACTTTCTCATGTAAATATATGCATATAAATCTTTCCAATATTCTCCAAATCTAAATTTCAAATCTGAGCAGTCTCGATCAATGTAAACTAAACAAACAACCTAAAACGAAGGAGAGCATGAAGCGTCTGTGAGGTCAATTAGGGAGTATTTCTGTTCCTTTGTATTTGACAAATTTTTCGATCTGTTCCGTTCAGTTGCAATATCTGCGTTCTCCTTTGACCTTCCTCTCCCCTCTTTTCTCGCCACACACAACCGAATGCGTGCTTGGAGAGCAAAAAAGGGGGGAAGGGGACAATTAAAAAGAACAGATCTCTTGACACTTAGTGCTAATGTGAAATCGCGAAACGAGCAACGAGAAAGAACGCGATAATATCAACCGGCAAGCGCAGCCGGACTTGCTGAACGCGAACGCACTTATGAAGAAGGCCGCACGAAACCCGGAATCAATAGCGGACGGCGGATGTACGTACGTACGGATGGACGGACGGACGAACAGACGAACGAACGAACGAACGGACGGACGGACGCGACGGGATGAAAACCGCGCGCGCGAGTCGGGACAGGAATGCGAGAACGATGAAACGCGCGAAAATCCGTGCCCAATCAACCCGACATTGGGATACGATGACAATCGGAATTGCTTCTCAACTCTATGTATGCGTACTCGAATTATGAGATAAAGAATCACCCGAATCTGTCTCTTTCTTTCTCTCACATTAAGTCTGTTTTTTATTCCTGCACTGGAACTTTCTTCCTCGCTGTCGCCAAATATCAAATGTATATCTATTTCACTTTTGAGCTCCGAAAGTATACTAGTATACTAGTTTAGTTACAGAAAACAGAGCTAATATGTATCACAATGTTTTTTTTCCGCGTCTTCAATATCCCACAGAATAGCTTTACACGACACGAAATCCTTTTTGATTCGCACGAGATAACCGAAAGAGGATCTCAAGGGTTCCGTCTCTCCATCGCATCCATCCAGATCCGCATGCAATCGCGAATCTTGTCGAGCCGAAGCAGGCAAAAGAGCCGACCGATTAATCGGTCGTTTGCCTTTTCCGAAAACGTTAAAACGAGCGAATACTTTAGGAAGCTTTATTAAAATCTTTGGAATTTTCTTCATAGAAAAGGTTACAGAATTTATATCGGGGAAAAATCAGCTCGAAATTGCCTAAAGAATCTATAGGATTAAAGGAATGCGATTAATTGAAATATCCCGTATACAAGATAAATCGTACGAATTTGTTCTATTTAACTCGTCATCATTACACGAAGATACGTTAAAAAAAAATCATGTTTCTTTTCTAAATTTCTTTCCTCTCTTCTATACAGATAAAAAATTCAGTTACCAAGATTATCGTTGACGGCGATCGGTGAAAATCGATCATCAATATATGCACCGAAACAAATTATATACCTCTCTCCAATAACATTTCCTTCTTTTTACTGCAAAATCGCTAACACAAGAGATGATAAGCGGAATTTCTATAGGAATACAATGTTTCCTTGCCTTTATACGCATATGAGACGACACCGAAAAAAACGAAGGATACGAACACCATGCATATACCTTTTATCGCAATTATCGCAATCACGTTCCCGGATCGCCTCGTCGTTGCCTATCAAAGCCTACCCCAAGTACAACCGAAGGGATATACCTAACTTTTCTCTCGATACCTGGGCCTATCGCCACTGACGATCTTAATTCCTTAACATATCTTCGAGACGTAAGCAGTGAGGCGAGTTCGTTCCAGGTAAAACCCATCACGACTCGATATTTTTAATTTAAAATGGGATATAAATTTAACAAATATCAAAAGAAATATGGATAATATATACAGAGGATTGATCGAATGAAGTGAATGTATTTCATTGAAATCGTCGATGACACTTCACTAATTAAGGATTAATCACTTTGTCAAGATTCGTTGATGCTCAAATAAAAATTTGCGTGTTCGAAATACATTTTCCAATAATTGTGAAAAATCCGACAACAACCGATCGAACACTATAACGAGATAGAAGAGACGACGGACAAAATCAGACAAAGCTCTCCGTCAGATTGGCAAAAAGACAAGCAGGAAGAGAGACAGAGAAAGAAATCTTTCATTAAAAATTATACATCGAATGAAAAAAATCAACTTGCGTGCAGCGAATGCGAAATCATATTTGGGAATTTTCTTGGTATATTTCTTGCGCCTTATAAATCGCGAGCGCGCGCGCGCGTGTTACTCCAGACAAATTATTTTATAACTTTATAATTAAAATTATTTATATATATATTAGGGATATTTAAATTATTTAACAAACTCATGCCCATTTTTACCAGTATAAATTTTAATTTTAATCTCGATTCAACTTGCTTTTCATCTTTTTCTAATTTTCAGAACTAGAAAAAATGAAGGATTATTGAATCGAAATTAAAATTAAACTACATGGTAGAGACGGGCATCAGTAAAAACATCTGAAGCATAAAGAGTGAGATCGTTAAAATGAACGGACTCTGCCGCGTATTTTACTGAAGGCGGTCGGAAAAGTTGTCAAAACTGGCCGCATGGCCACCTGGTCGAACCGGCTATATCTCTCTGTCTTCGTATTACAGCCACCCGCTCGCTCGTCCGTTCGCTCGCTCGCTCGCTCGCTCGCCGAGCGCGCGAAAGTGGCCGAAAGAACGGCGAGCAGGGGAAACGAGGGGGACAGAGGGGTGAAGAGCGAGGTCGTCGCGTTTCGGCCTACGTATCTACTACTACAACGTGGTACAAAGGCGTCGCATAAACGCCAATCCGTTACCGGACGACCGTTTCTTAGATCGAACGAGATTTAATTTGCGCGCGATAGAGAAATCTTTTTCTCATACGAATTTACATTCACGCAACAATCTTTGTTTCCCAATTTTGAACAATGGCGACTCGCGAGCATTGACTGACAATTGATTGAGTTCAGTCTTTTTATTGTCTTATCTATTTGTGTCACCTTGAAACTCGACACGAATATCTAAGATCTTCGTAATCAAAATGCGGACATCCGGTAACGTAAAAGCATTTATAAAATGCCTGAAGGAAGCGCAAATGTTAAAAAAAAGGGGGGGGGGAGAGGGAGAAGATTTTGGCGCCGCTTGCCAAGAACGCGGGAAAAGAAACCACCGTCGCGCGCGCGAAAAGGGAGATGTTACTTTTTCTTTCTTCTCGAGGCGCGAGGGTACGGTTACTCGTACTTCGTAACATACCGGGGACATAACGGGGGGCGTGGACGTTTGCGTGGTAATGGGCGAGAGATGTTGCTGCTGCGGCTGCTGTTGTTGCTGCTGGCCCTGCAACTGCTGGTGCAGGTTATTCTGTGCGGCAGCGTCCATGACTCCGCCTGGATATCTTGTCCAGGACCCGGCGCCGCACCGAGCCTGTAATCGTATCCACCCCTCATGCACGCGGCGGCGCCGCCGACCGGCGTGGATGTCGAGACCGGACTCGATGCCGCGCCGGTGGTGGCCGGGTTCTGGAAGCTGGAGGCCATTTTGTAGGAGAAGAGCTGTTGGTTCGCCGCAGCGGCAGTACTCCGGACGTTGTCCGGATGGTGCTGCGCCTGCTGTTGTTGCTGCTGCTGCTGCTGTTGTGCGAGCTGCTGTTGCTGCTGTTGCTGCTGCTGTTGGGTCAGCAGATGCTGATGTATAGTCTGTTGTTGCTGTTGCTGTTGTTGCTGCTGCTGTTGCTGTTGATCGGTATTCAGGCCCGAAGGCCACCAGGCGGCACCGCCGGAAGCATCCTCTCGGTTACCCGGGCTCGCGGTGCCCCAGCCACCGGCCACGCGGTGGTGCTCCGACATATCGCGACGTACGTTCGTACGTCCGTCAGGGTCCCTCAGCCTCTCGTTTTATCCGCCGGTGACACAACACCAGCGAAGGAAAAGAAAAATTCACGAAGGAATTGCTTGCACGCTCGCGCGCACGTACACATGCACGCGTTAGCTGTCCCGTCTTTCCTTCTTTCTCGTTACAAGTCTTTTTTTCTTCCCTTTCTCTCTCTCTCTCTCTTTCTAGTTCTCACACGCACACGCGCGCGCTCGCTCGCACGCTCGGTAACATCCCGCGTGCACGCACAGTGCACACAGACAGCTAACTCTATATTACTCTTTCTCTCTTCCTCTTTCTCACCCTCTTTCTCTCGCTCTTTTTCTTTCGCTCTCTCTCGCACTCTTTCTTTCGCTCTTTCTCTCTCTCTCTCTCTCACTCGCTCATTCGCGCACGTACACGGAATCTCTCACATTCGCACACTTGGGAACTCGCTGGTAAGAACGCTTAGATGTCGGACAGGAGAGGAAAGACCACGCACCACACGCACGCGTTTCAAACGCGTTCCCACTGTCACAACACTATCTCCGCGTTGAACCGACGATGACGGTTAGACTCCGGTTACGAGAAAGAACACCGATCACTATAAAGCTGGTGCTTGCTCGTGCTCGCTTACTCGCATCGCGGAACGCGCGTTTTCCTTATCTTTTTTTTTCCTTCACGCGCGTAACACCAGCGCGTAAAACACGCCGCGGCGCGCTTAGTTTCAGTTCCCCGTGAATATACGTACGTACGTTATACTTGGGATGCGGTCTACTCGACGCTACGCTCGACCGTTCGTTAGCTCCGTGAGTAGGTACGGCGGCGGGCAGAGGAGACGAGCGGGCGGGTGGGTAGGGGAGGGCGCTCTCTCTCTCCCCCTCTAGCTCTTTCTTTTTCCCTCTGCCTCCCCACCATCGACGACGAGGAGCAACGACGTCGAACGCTCACGCTCGCTCCGTCTCTCTTTCTCTCACGTCTTCTTTTTCTCTCTCTTTCTCCGTCTCTCCCTCTCTGTCTTTTTCTCCGTCTCTTTGTCTCTATCTAGCCCGTTTCGCTCTCTTTTTCCTTTTCTCTCTCTCTCTCTCTCTCTCCCCCTATACCGTCCCGCGACGAAACTCGCTTGCTCGACGGTGGTTCCTTCTTTCAGCGACGGTGGCGGCGGCGGCGGCGCCGACGCAAGGATACGGGTGTACACACCGCGTCCTTGATACAATGTCGGGGAATAGGAATAACAGCAGCAGCAGCAACAGCGTTTTCCAATGATGACGGGTTTCTCTGCGGCGCTTAAAGCGCGACGCAGGGGGACGCGTCACGCGCGCGTCCGCGGGACGCCGGTACTCCGGTTCCGCGCGTTATAAACACGCACTCCGGCTCCGCGCTCAACTCAGCTTGATTTGGTTTGATTCGGTTCGGTTTGGCGCGACGCAACGCGACGTGGAGCGTAAGCGACGCCGGCACGTCCGACGAGCACGCCGCTGACGATGTCACGATGGTGGGCAATATAGTAGTGGTATTAGTAGTAACAGCCGGCTCTGTGTAATGGTAGTAGTACAGCGCGATAGCTTTTTCACATTGGAGAGAAGCGTACGTGCGCGCGAGAGACTCGCTTCTCTCTCGCCTCTACCGCGACTCACTACACGCGACGTCGCACACACAGAGGGCGAACCTGACGAGAGAACAGACCGCCTGGACGCGCTCGTACGATCTCTCTTCCTCTCTTTTCCCCGTACATCTGTCTGTCTTTCTTTCTCTCTCTCTCTTTCTCTGTCTTCCATGCAGTTCTCCCCACGCCCCTCGCAAGCCGGGTGTCTCGTTCGCTCGCTCTGTCCTTCTTTCTCTCTCTCTTTCTTTTTCGTCCTCGCTCTCTCGCACCCGTACCAGTTTAGCCTTCCTTCCAGCGGACGCCGGCAAACTCTCGCGACGTTGCCAGGCACGCTTTCACCCGCCCGCTCACAAAGGAGAACCTAAGCGCGCCGGCCAATCGAACGGCGCTATACCGCCGGTGGGGATGGCGGGAGTCTACCGCCGTCCTGCTATAGGCAACGTCGCTTTCTCCTCTTCCGTTCTCTCTCCGTTCGTAGAGAATTCGAGAGAGCCGCGCGCGCGACTCGCCGTATAGTCCCTCCGGTAAGATATGAGAGGTGGGGTGGGGTAAGGTGGAATGGGATGGAATGGGATGGGATGGTGAGAGAGGGAGGGGGGAGGAGGGGGCGAACGAGGCGCAGAAACGACTGCGAACCCTTCTCTACCCTTGAAACTCGAGGTCAACTTTTAGGCAGAGAAAGAGAAGCACGCGGAAAGATGAGGAAAAAAAGAAAGAGACGCATCTATTCCCCGCGACCGACTGGCTGACTCCACGTCGTCGTCATCATTGCGTGTTCTTTCTTCTGTTACCTCTCTCTCCTTTTTTTTTTTCATCCTTAGTTTCGCTACACCGCTACGCTCTCGCTAGCTCGCTGGAATTTGCCCCACATCGGACGGACAAACGCTTCCTGCTTTTCACGCCCGCTGCTTTACGCCCTTTTTCCCGCTCATCGTAACATACGCGCGAGGACGAAGACGAGGACGCGTGCCCGCTATCTTTACCGACCGGCGAGACGACGACGGGCCGCTCTCTTCGTCGGTCGATACGGAAGAACCTTCGGAAGAACGATGAAATTTCACATTCTGCGAATGGAATGTGCCCCCGAGGATTCACCACGCGAGACTCCGATTCATACACGCGCAAACGATTCCGAGGCCGGATTTATTGTACGACAAGGCATCATTATGCGCCATCTTGAAAGAAATACCTTTATGATAAGCGCATCAAGTTGTAATAATTTTTCTGACACGATCACGCTTCAATCGTCCAAACAACACACAAAAAGTAAAAATAACTATTTTGATCCTTAACGTCAATAAATAGTCAAATTTCGTAATCAAAAATGTATCATTTTGACCTTCATGACGTCATGATTAAGTCATTTTGACTTTCACTTGACTCGGTGTGTTCGTTCTACTATTTCATGCGATACGTTGGCTATACCGATCAGAATAAAATTCCTTCTTCGAATTAGCTAATAATTTGTCGATGGGAAACATAAGTCGCATTATAACTCAGAAGAACGTTCGCGGACGAGAGTTCATTTCTTTCTTCATATATATATATATATATATATATAACTAACGCCTTATTATCTCTTTATCGATATACATACAACCGCAGGAATGTGACGCTCTCGCAATGGTATCCCTTGGCCGTCGCGTTTCTTTTTTTTTTCTCCTCGCGAATGAAGTCGCGAATTGGAATTCGCGCGAACCGGATGGAGAAGTCCTGACCGATCAACGCTCGGGGGGAATGGCCGAAATTTTTCCTGACCACCTCTTCTTCAAAGAGCGCGCGCGCGCGCGCGCTGTTCTTTCCTTTTTTTCCTCTTTTCTTTTTTTCCTACTTTTCTCTGTCTCTGATAGCGCGCCAAGAAGATGAAATGAAAATGTATATCGCGGGACCTGTGCGTCGGACCTGTCCTCCCATCCCTCCCGTTACCCCGCGGGTGCCTTCTCCACCCACCCCCCCTTCCCCTCTCTCTCTCTCTTCCCCCCCTGGCAACCCTTGCCATCGTGAGGCGGCGGGTGAGTTGGTGCGGGTAACCCGGCGCGAATCGAAGAGAGAGGAGAAGAGAACCGGGTCCGGGTCAATAAGACGCGCGAGCGAGAGAGACGGAGTGATCGAGGGAGACAGAGGCAATGGAGAGGCAGCGGCGTTGTTGAGGTTAGGGGGGAAAGGAATGGGGAGCGGGAGAAGCGGAGGGGAGGAGTTGGGGTACGCGGGCGAGAGAGAGAGGCGGGGGAACAGGCAGCGTGAGAAAGACGAAGAGAGACAAAGCCATCGCGCATTCCCAGGGCCCAGCATTGGCAACCTAACGAACGTACGTATGGAAACGTACGAAAATATTGAAATTAGTATACTTCTAACGGGACGGAACGAGAAGAGCCGAAAAAGATGTGCAATATACAGGAAGGAAATTGTCGAGACAAGGCAATGAGGAATAGAAACTGAATGAGAAATTCCAATTCCCCGATCATGTTGGTACGGCCCAAAGACGGCCCGAACCGGACCGGCCTGATTCTACGCGGAATGTACCTTCGTATCGTGTACGAAAATACGCTGGACGTGTAGCTTCAAAAATACGAAATATTCCATACGAGAGATATGGCCTCGAGAGATCAACGTTATTTAATTACGTTCAACGGACCCCTGGCGAAAATAAAAATCGGAGCGTAAGTCGAGTGTAAGGGGGGAGTAACAGAAGCGTAAATGAAGCTTCTAGAAGGCAAAAATTGAAGAGCGAAAAACACCTCTTTTACTCTCTCCTTACATTCGACTTGCGTTCCGATTTTTATTTTCACCAGGGACACTATGCATTACGAAAATCTGAATAACGTTGGCAATGTGAATTCTATCTCGTCGATATGTATCCGCGACAAAGTTTTGCCTTGGTCCTTGGGAGAAGTCGAAAGAATCTCCTACAGCTTACAACTTTCTTACACTAGCCTAAGTATCTCGCCGTTAGGATTCTGAAAGACCCCGATCCGTTAGATAAACGAGGGAGAGAAGGGCGCCCTAGGCGCGCATCCGATTCCCACGATTTAACGTACACCTTGGAATATAGTGCGCGCGTGCGCTTGCTTTTTCGAAATATGTATCGTAATTCTTTATCTAATAGAATGTGCTCGCGCGAGCGGCCACGCGGGACAGAAACAATGGTGTCACAACAGCGGGAACCCTCCCGAGTCGTACCATCTGCCCTTTCGAGGGCTTTCGAATCGTGCCATGTGGCGATACAATTGTCGCACCCCGTCGGTGTGCCTTTTACTGGACAGTTGAAACAAAAAGAGCCAATGCATATAAATACATCGACTGAGACAAAGTTTGATTATCAGCGCACCTCGACACCCTCCAATAGATATTATAAAAGCAGGAAAAGTCAAAATTTCTTCAATATGCTTTCAATTAGCTTGTAAGATTCTTATGTTTAATCACGACTTTATGAAGCCGACTTCCTTACTTCCTGAACGCAATTTTATGTAAGTAAAGAGATTACTTTGAGAGATAGAAATCCTATAATAAAAGTCACGAGAAAGTATAGGTATATA